CAGTGAGGCTTTAGCCTTCTTAAGTCTGCTCTGCCTTCACCTCCTCCCAGACTTTAGCTTCGCTACCTTGCCCTTAGCCCTCCTGGCCTTGGCCTAGCTCCTCCAGCAATCTGGGCCCCTGGCCTCAACGCAGCTACTGTAGTTCTGTCTCAGCCCTTGGCCTGCTGGGTCCTTGAACCTAGGCCAGATTGCCTGTCACTAGCGCCCACCAGGCACACCTTCATGGCCTCCTTACCCCTCTATAACCACCGTCCAGTCTTAGTCTCAAACCTAATCTCAACATAAATACCAGCAAGCTGCTGTAGAATTAAATCCACCCCACTAAATCACTGCCAGCCATAATTTTCCTTCAGTTCTCTCCTTCCAGCTGTATTAGGCATCCTGGGTGCCTGCTGGTCTGCCACTTACATCCATCTCCCTAGGAGCTCCTCTCCCTATAGCATACAGGACCAGACTGACTGCCTGGTGTCAGACACTGGGTTTATGTGCACCCAGGTCCCACCCCTTCTTGTCACTGTGGCTTAAAGGCCAGCCTGACCTCCTCTGCTGCAGCTATAGCCAGCTGCTTACAGCCTTTTTTTCTGGGCTGCCTGGCCCTTGGTTGCTCCCTGCAGTGCAGGTAGTCGCTTAAAGTAACAAGAGCCTCTTGTTCCCTTTTACACTGCTGTTCTTGCAGCCCCTCTTAACTAGGCATTCACAGATGGCACCCAGGTTGCTTGTTAGGCTATTGTTTGGCAAAACCCATCAGCTGGTCAGCTTTGGAAATGAGCTCATTTCAAAGACAGTGCGCTAAAGGTTCTGGGGAGGGAGGGTCACTTAGGATGACCTATGTGGCCTTTCTTGAAGGCCTATTGCTTATGTTTAAAAATTATATTGAGCAACTGAAATCTTTCAGTTTGCAGCTGAAATCAGATTTGGCCAAACTATGCTAATGAAAAGATGAAATTTTCTACAGAAAGCAGGTATGGCATGTGATAAATTCAATTTTGTTGAAAAACAACTTTGATGGAAAATATTTGACTAATCTTACTTCAATCTTTTTCATAGAAACATAGAGATGTAGGGCTGGAAGGGACCTCCAGAGGTTATCTAGTCTAGCCCCGTCTGAGGCAGGATCACCCATATCCAAACCATCCTATACAATCCATAGTCCAAACTCTTAACTATCAGGTTAAATTCAGAAGGAAATTTGTCTGGGTAAAGGTTGAGGACTTGATCCTACAAAGTAGTCTCAGTGTGTGCTGTTCAATTCTATCTCCTTTTCTACTGTTTGTGGGATTTGAATCTGTACATGGATCAATGTAAGCAGACTCCTGAGGCCCTACATCTATTCACCTAGCTCAATAGGAAGGTATAAGAGTCTACAATCACAGATCTATTATAGAAGCTGGCCCTGTAAAATTTCAGGGAAGTGTTTAATTTGCTTAGGGGACTGTCTACCTAATCAATAATAGATAATACAGTTTTAAAGACCATAATCTGTTGGTAGTTTTGTTTGAGTAAAGCCTATCCATGTTAGTGATGATGATAATTTATCCCTTGGTGTTGGAAAAAAGGGCACTTATTCTAATTTTTTAGTCACCGGAGGGGGAATCGACAAGAACCATTTCCACATAGTGATCCCTGGTAATGTCTCTGATGGCCAAGAACTCTCAAATTGACAAAAATGCCAAAACACACAAAGATAAAGATACAGATACACTTTTTGTCATACAAGTTGTCATTGGAGCACTGGGAACTATTTTTATAATCAGCATAAATTGAAAGATTGTACTGTTTTTCAAAAGATCTCATGATTTCCATAAAATTTCCTTCACTGACTGATTTAGAATGTGTAATTGTCTTATAAAGTACAGAGTATCTCAGCTGGTTGGGTCTGCACTGAGTTTGATTTGCATATAACCTACAACAAATATCCCTTGTAACGCTTTTAATATAACATAAAATAAAATTAAATCCATTCACATTCTGTCAATAAAATCTCTTAATACAATGAATTAAAAAAATGTTGTCAAAACCATTTCTAATCATTCAGGATGGTAAAAATTCTACATTTTTACTGGTTGTAATGGGAAAAAAATGTAATACAAATGAAAGTTCTTAGGACAGCAAGTGCAACTCAGCTAAAATTGCAATGGCCGAGTATAGTCCTAGATTTCATCACTAGGAAGAAATGCTTTTTAACAACTTTATAGCAAAATCAACTCTGTAGTTTCAATTATATTTGATATATATATACACACATACACACTAGGGCTATATGAAATTTTGCCAGCTGTTTTGTTTTGACACTGTTTCAACTAGTTTCAAGCTCGAAACAGAGAAATTAAAACGAAACAAAGGGCTTCAAAAAAGCCTCGAAATGAAACGAGGGCAGTTGAAACATTTTGAAAGTTTTGAAATGTTTTGAGTTTCAAAGCTGAATCTGGGCTTGCCTGCAAGGAAACAGAAAGTGAGGAGAGGAAGGACTGCTCTGATATTGACTGTGACTCTTTGGCTGCCTGAGATGCTGTTGGTGCTATTGTGCTCCTTACTAAGTTATTACCTGTTGTCATTTAAAGTTGTGGACCAGGCTGAGGCTGTAGAGAAGGAGGAGGCCTCACTGGGACACACTACTGTATTGTGTAGAGTCCCCAGCCTTAACACAGTCACACGTCATGAGTTTTGCTTGTCAGCAGCTTGAGGTGCAGTTTCCCAGAAACCCCTGCACCTATCTCCTTGAAACTTGGCAGGCGTCATGCCCTCAGAAGGGGCTACCATCCCTGCTGTTTTCATCTAAATCTGCCAAAAATGCCAACGTTATAGGCACTTTTGTCCTTCCCCATTATAGCCTATGGGCAAAATGTCAGAACAGCGAAACAGTTTCGACAAAACGAAACGGAACAGTGATTTGAAACAAAACGAAACAAAATGCTGTCCCATCGAAAGGGTGAAATGGACATTGAAATGAAACGGTGCCGTTTCACACAGCCCTATACATACAGATATATACACACACACACACACACACACACACACACGTGTGTGTGAGTGAAGTGATTCTTAATGTATGAATTTTAAGAACAATGCACTGAACAAAGTAGTAATTGTCTCCCATCTCTGTATAATTCTGAAGAGTGTTAATATCCTGAAGCCTATAATTTTAATGGTAAACACAGCATGATTGTGAGTAAATGCTGTTTTATAATAATACTTTTCATGCTGCAGAACCCACCTCCTGTTTTCATATGAGCATTAACCTCATTTGTTGTAAAAGAACACAAGAATTCATGTCTTAAAAGGTAAGTGAAAATGGAGCTAGTTTTCAATTCTCATTTTTATTTATTTGTATTTATAAGTCTACACACAAATACATTGTTACAAGTTGGGATCCTAAACAGCCTTCATAAAGGAAATAATGCTCACTGTTTACTTTTATATAACACTATTTCCCCATGTCCTTCTACCAATTACTAGTGAAACCTGATTGAAGCTAATATATCTGGATGAATGAAATACAGGCAGTCCTCGATTTACAACGTTTCGAGTTACAACATTTTGCACTTACAACATTTCTAAATTGACACCGTTTCAACTTTCTGATGTCAGTTTCAACTTTACAATGCTTGATCCGACACCATGCCACGCTAGCAAATAAGTTTGCTGCATCGCCCATCTCCTGTCTGTCCAAACTTCCTTGGACACTTTCTTTAAGAAAGCAGACAAGACTCCAGAAAAACCTGCAGCCAAGACTCCTAAGAAGACTCCTGCCAGGAGCCCTTCAAAAAGTCCAGCAAAGTCACCTCAAAGAAATCCTTCCAAATCAATATGATTGCTATTTACAATATAAATATGTTAATGTAGCTATATTACTCATCTATAATTGATTGAGTACAAAATTCTGGGTTATTTTTGGTGAAAATAGGGTATCAGGCCTTGGTTCAGGAACCAATCCCCCATTTATTACATTGTTTCCTATGGGAAAAATCGGTTCCGAGTTACAACGTTTTGACTTAAGACGTGGTTCTCAGGAACTAATTGTGTCATAAATCTGAGGACTGCCTGTAGTCAAGAGACTAAATATATTTGTAAAACCACACTGGATTGGAAATCCAGTCGGCTTAAGTTCTTTATCACTCAGTAATACTTTGCTTCTTGTAAGAAGCTGTTCAACACTGAAATTCATCACAAGTTATTATATAATTAGGTTAACTGTTAGAAGTTGTGAAAAACCAACTGCAACTTAATCTGTATTTGCTTGGCACTGATTAATGGTGTTTTTTCATTACTACATTTATATTTGAATGTAAAAACCTGAATTTTGTAAAGTCCAATTAAGCTTAGACACTCACAGATGCACCCTTCCTGTAAATAAACTGCTAACCTGGAGGGAGGAAATGTTTTTCACCACCCTAGGCTGTAATATACCAAGAGATATTTAACTATCAAGACATGTTGGCCAAATAATGCAAGGCTTAATTGTTTAAAGTGCCAATTACCATTTGAAAGATGAGATGCGGTTTCACTGGAAATTGAGGGGGCTGGTATTTTGCAAGCAGAACTCGGGACCTTGTAGTCTGAGACAAACAATATGCAAAGGGAACAGTAATATCTTTGGCCCTTTGAAAACCTTTAGTTATAGGTCACAAGTGCAGCTCTGATTGTAAAAACCAGTGATGACCCCCCTCCATTTTTCCCTGGCTCTTTAAGGCACCAGGATCCTGCTATATGGCAAAACTCCCACTGATTTCAGTAGGAGTAGATCTAGTCTTAGTGTAAAAATATTCCTGTCAGATCACATAATAAAACAACGGTATAAAGTAATAAGAAACAATTTGGAGTCTGTAATCCTTATAAATCTATCTTTGCATTCTGCTTTGTATCTCTGCCAATTTAATTTAAATTAACTCGCATCTGATGTACTGGAGACTTCACAGAATTTGGCATTACAACAACAATAATTGCTTTATAACAGTAACCAAATATAGGACTATGTTTCAATTAAAGGGGCCACTATATTCAATTTAGACACGATAAGACAGTCGCTGAGAGGATAAATACCAATTATTAAAGTGTTTATGGGCCTGTTCTCTAGGTAGCAATTAGTCCTGAAAAGCCTCACTCACAAGAGGTTGTGTCATGCCTGTTTGAACACAGCCCTGACTGTGGTTAAGAGTACTGGGAGGCTTTTGAATTCACAGGCCCTGTAGGATTATCTCTATGCCACCTACTACACTGTGCACCTAAATGCTAAACAGAATCTGGTCCTCTGTTAGTTTTTACTAGCATAAGTTGCCTCTTGGACACCCCATGGGACTTTATGGAAGAAGTCCTCATGTCTACAATGGTGTAATTCAGCTGCCAATAGTGGTATTGACAGTTACACCATTGAAGAAGAAGTTAGAAGCTGGCTCCATTAACAATAGTTGCATGAAAGTATGAAGAGAATGGGTGCTATATTTGTGATTCAGAGGCTGAACTTTCTTTCAGAGAAACAGTTAAACTTTGGCAAACTGTATGTAAAAGGGTCCAGAAAAACCTGTATAAATTCACAAATGAGCATATTTATTTTAGAGGCAACGATTTTTGTGGGTGATATCTTTTACTGAACCAACTGCATGGCTGGGACGCATTTAGACAAGATTTCAAATTCATTCTTTAGGTCAGTGAAATGCATCACATTTTGAAAGCTTGTCTAAGCCTATCCTAGATATGCATTCGGTCCAATAAAAAGATAAAACAATGCCTGCCTCTTACATATGTTCTGGACCACTGTAACTACAACATCACTCCAATACTACATATTTATTCTAGTCACTTACTAATATTAAACTAAGCAAATATGTTGATGTACATTAAGTTTGACCAGCAGAGGGTTCTTAAAGAGTCAATGGACAGGTATAAACAAATAAAAGTAGTTTTCTTTTAAAAATGTAATTTTTAAAAAAATACTAAAATTACATTAAAAAAATTAAGTACTCAGACACTCTGAATTAACCAGTGGACATAATTCCAACATCAATTTGTTTTGGTGACATTTTTGTGAAAGGGATGTTATCCAGAATCCTATATCCAGTTAAATGTCAATGATGCTAATGAAAGGCAGACAAGACTATACAAAAAAAATCTGATACATAAACTTGGAACCATATTCAAATTTGCCAGGAAGTCTGTGTGAGCACATGTAAAAGATAAAGACAGCATCACTATTACAGATATGAAGCTATGATTGTGCCATTTTCCATGCTCCAAGATGAAAAGCACTGTTAATAAAAGGGGAAATGGAGACAAAAAAAGGGAAAGAAATCAAAGAGAACTTTAAGTCATCTCTTTCATGATTAATAGTCTTCAAAAGGCAAATGTTGCATGCACTAGTTCCCCAAAAAGCTAGACACAGCTCTTCCATTTCCAATGTATTCCCTTTCTTTTATTTTCATGAAGACAGGTTTGAGAAAGCAGACCGCTGGGAAGAAATGCTACAAACTTCTAAGTTAGTGAAAGAACTTCCAGCTTCACTAGTATATTCTGGGTAGGAAGAACTGGAAGAGATTATGTTTTTCAGCCTCTGAAGTGCAATAATCAATAGCAGAAGAAGAAAAGCTAAGAGACTGAGAAATATAGAAACGTAGACATAGACATTTGATAAGCGGCCAGACGTTGAATCCACTGAAGTAGACAAGGATGTGGGATATAGCTCTAGAAAAGTCCCATTTTCCATGTTTCCTACAAACCCAGATGAAGGGGCAGGTTCTGACATTTTGATCTGAGTGTTTTAAAAACTGGGAATTGATCTTGAATTCAAAGGCTGTTCAGTGACATAAAGGATGTATTCTAGATCCTTTCATTTTGACATTTCAGTGCAGGTATACCAAGTCACTACACAATCACGTTTATCCTTCAATTCTCAAATCCGGGAGTAATGCAAGATACTGTATCCGTTAGAACTGCAATGAAAAAAAAAGAATATACAGTTAATTTACTATTGTTCAGTATGAATTGCTTACCTAATACACTATTACTTCAAACTTTCTTTTCATTTTTTCCTTAAAGTTGACCTTAAGACAGCTGATGATGATTTCTGTTTTGTTCGAATTCCCCAAGCAGGGAAAAGAAGTAAAGTTTTTCCCATAAATTATTTCAAATATACCCTTTTAAAGAGAGATCAGTGCAATCCAACAATCTCTGAACTTTGTATGGGAAAGAAGTGCTCAACAACAACCCCAAAGCTGTATTTCACTGCTGATGATATCTATATGAAGTCAGTTGAAGCCCTGAATCCAAGCACCCTCAATATTTGTGGGGTAAGGAGAGGTTTCATAATACAGATTTGAATTTTTTGCCTAAGGGTGTTCCCTATCTATGTCACACAGTCACTTGTGCCAGTCTACAGGATGCTCAACCTGAGCTGTAATGGATGTTATTCCTATTGCTTTCAAGCCTTGCAGGAGGATAGAGTGACCGGGCAAATGCCGTTTTATAATATACAGTGAAAGGTTGCGTTATAATGTGAATTCCTTCATGTCGGGGAAATCTTTATCAAAGGCAGGATTTCAGGAACTGACCACACTACAGAATGCAACCAATAAGTCTTAAAACTGAGCTCAGAAGGAATTTATCTTGTAGACAAAGCTAAATAAGGAATGAAAAATTCTCCTTAAGAACTTAAGCTTGCAATCTCAAAGTAGAGTTGTTCAGCAAGGTTACAGACAGTAAATCTACTGCCTCTATTACAGCCGTGTCTCTCCAGCAAATAGAATCTGGGACTTTGCTCATTTAGTTATTTTATACAGGTCTACAGTATGGTTATCTATTTTTTTTTAAGATTGAAAAGCAGAAATTAGTCATTAGCATACTGATCCACTGTTGATTAGGTGCCTCAATAAAATACAGTTTTCAGGCAAATCCTTCCCTATGCCCACACCCAGAGGCAAATATCAGAGCAAACAAATGGGTCTTCTGCTTCAGCAAACTCAAGGTTAGATTAGAAGGACCTCTTGGAAAGTGCCAGCTTTTAATTTTCACTCATTTTTTGACTAAAGAAAAATACTAGAGCAATTTTTCTGTTTCAAAGAACTCCAGAAAGACCAAAAAGAGTCAGAATGCTTTTGATACTATGGATTCTGGGTTTGTCTTCTGAAACATGTCTGCACCCCTAACAGTTCTAACGTTGTGTGGCACCCTGCAGCACCCTCAGAAGGACCTCATGGCACCCTAGCTGAGAATTACTGGTCTAAAGGAAGCAACTCCAAAGATGCAAGGAAATATTTTGTCTCCAGCCACTCCAATTTGGATTTAGAGTCTCAGATGCACTGAACAAATCTCAAGAAGTCAGTGTAAAATGTGAGTAGGGAAGAGGCCTGTGCTAGGGTTCCTTTCACCAACTTGCTAAATTATCAGTGCGATGTGCTTCATGAGCATAGGGTGAAGCTTAGTGACCGCTAACATTCTGATTTGGTAGCACTTAATCCCATGGTTGGCTAACTTTGTACTAATATCACAGCTCCACAAGGTACAAGGGGATGGAGAATCAATGACATTTTCTATACACAGTAAACTAATCCTGGCACTGTCTACATGTGCTTTTTTACCATTGGATAGTAACTGAGTCTGACGGGACTGTCTGACAGTGCTGTAAATTAGTCTTCAACAGCCCACTTACTGTGAACTCATAGACGATGATGCTTTACTATGCAGTAAATTACTCTACTGCACGGTAAAGTGCATGTGTAAACGTGCCCACTAGGTGTATCTACACATTCATCAATATGCTGTAATTATGGCACATTAATTTTTGTAATGACAAGTACCAACTTAATGTGGTGTAATTGGTACTGCTGTATATTAACACAGATAAGCACTTTTTTAGTGATGCTAATGTACATTAGACTCAATCTGCTGAGCATTAGCACCGGTTTTGCCGTTGCGCTGACACAGAGTAGAATTAGTCTTCTCTGCATGTGCCCACTGAGTAGCAGTTTACTACATGGATAAACCCTTTGACTTCAATAGGGCTATCTGCAGCATAGGTATCACTTGATATGAGTAGAAGTGGCAGAATCAAGTCCTTAAAATTACTATGTTATTTTGTCGTCTTTTTCAGATGCCACGCTAAAGCTAAAGTATCTTGCTATGTTTCCATGAAAGTGTTCCAACACTTTTACCCAGGATGCGCTTACCTTATAATTTTACCTTTGAAACTTAAATTTCCTGTCAGTTCTCTTAACTTAATTAAGTATCTATTTCTTCAAGAGGCTGACATTTTCACAGGCTGTGACAAAAGCAGGAATCCATGCTAATGATCCTCAAGAAAGATGAGACATGTTTCTGCTGGTGCTGCTTCTTCTCTGGCAGACTAATAAAGGCCTTAAGAGGCACCTACTAAGAGTGCTAAGAAATCTGCCTTGTAGTCACTATAATCATTTGCATATGGTTACCCATCATGCTTTGCACTGCAAGTTAAGTTAGGAGGCTATGCTATATGCCATAAATAGATCTAAGTTTTGTCACCGTTACTTAGATACTAAGTGGTAGATGGAGTATAATGATACCATTCTTTTTCTTCTGTAACCCCGATTTTGTTTCCTATACCTAGATATCCCAGTGAGAGAGTGCATTATAAAGTCTAGGTAGTTAAATACACTACCTTTGTTTTACTGTAAAACTAGTTTTATATACAGGCTTCCCAGTGGCCCAAGATGCATCTACTAAATAGTAAGAGGTGTAAAACTGCACCAATGGATTTCAGGTACTAAAGGCTGTCATTTTATATGGTATAACTTTATACTAACTTGTAAAATATATTGGGGAAAAATTGTTTTAACTTTGGTTTTACTTTCCCTAAGAACGGTATTTAAAGCATGTCATGAAATCACTTATAGCAGACCCAGCAGGGAGAGACCCTTTGGTACTATCCTTATCTTAGTGGTTCGAGGAAAACTAGTGGAATAAAATGTGCTGATTTCATATTCTGCAGTGAGTTGAGTGTCTTATAGCAAAGCTTATATATGAAAGAAATTTAGCTATCAAAGATTTTTATCTTTGATTAATCAGAGTGAAATACAGATCCTTCATTAATTGCATTCCTCTATAATAAGTTATGGAATTAATTCACATAGATATTTTAATGTGGAAAAAAGTTATTTTTGTTTAGAAATCTTTACAAGACTTTCAAACAGATATGCCTTTCATTTACAGTTAAGCATTTTGACCTCAACTCAACAAAGCACTTTGGCCCCTGGCTAGCTCTAAGTATAGGAGTTATTCCATTAACTTGAATAAGATTAACCATAGGCCTATAAACAAGTACTGAGTTGTCTCCAAGTCCTTTTTGTTGCATAGCATTGATTAGATGGCTAGCATTTTTCTTTTTCCTATACACCGAATACTTTATATTTTATCTGATAGTGATACAAAAATTTCATATTCCATAAGACAAAAGGCCAGAACTTTTAGAATCAAGAGGATTTGGTCCAATGTATATGTGAACTAAAAGGAACATACTTGGTACACTTGTACATGTGACGCAATTAACATATACACATGACGAAAATGTCACTGTGTAGCTTAATAGTATCATAGTCTACACATGCAAAACTTTTAGGGGGTTTAAATGACTTTGCATTGTTGCAAACTAAACTACATCTGGATGTAGTTCAGTCTGCAATGTTGCAAATTGCAATGATGCAGCTGTCAGCACACCCCCCAGCCATGGGAGAGGCAGGCAGGCTCCGCAGAAAGAAAAGGATTGGGCCCCTCACCGCTTCTGCGTTCAGCAGGCACCTAATATTTCACTCTGCGGTGGTGGCACCTGCCAGGGCCACCCATGCAGGCTGCTAGCAGGGTAGGTGTTGCCTTGGCTTGGGGTCAGATAAGAGTTGGATTGGCCTGGATGCTGCCGCTGAGCTGGAGCAGTACCCAACCCACCAGCAGCCTGCCTAGGCAGCCCCAGGATGCGCCACTGCTGCAGAGGGAAGGAATGGAGCTCCCCGTAGCTCAGGGGTCTTTTGGCCCACCAGCAACTTGCCTCCGGCTGCAGGGAGAGGCAGGAAGGCTCAGGCAAAAAAAAAAAAAAAAGGATCAGGCCCCTTGCCATTTTTGCCTTTAGCAGGTGCCTGCTAAAGACAGAAGCTGCGAGGGACCCAATCCTTTTTTCCTGGTAGAGCCTGCCTGTGGCCAGGGAGGCGAGCTGCCAGCAGGCTGAGTGGCCTTTGAGCTGCAGGGGAGTCCCAGTCCTTCCCTCAGGAGCAGTGGTACCCCCTGGGCCACCTAGGTAAGCTCCTAGAGGGCCAGGTCCTGCCCCAGCTCAGAGGGCCAGGTGCTGCCCCAGTTTGATCCAACTGCTCCTGCTGGAACCCTGCCAGGTGCTGCTTCCTAGGTGAGCTCGAGGAAAAGGTGGATTGGGCCAGGTGCTGCCTCCTAGTTGGGGCAGCACCAGGCCCTCTAGCAGCCTCCCCCAGTGGCCCTGGGAGGGTACTGCTGCCATGGAGGGAAGGACTGGGATCCCCCACAGCTCAGGGGTCACTCAGCTCGCTTGCAGCTCAACCCCTGGCCATCAGGGGTGGGAAGGGGAGAAGGATCAGGCCCCTCACCAAAATATGACAGAAAAATTGAAATGGTGGGTTTCAATTAAAAAACAACCACTTCAGTTTAGGGGGCATAGAATAAAACCTTGGGAATTAAACCCCCACCACATGCACAAGCACCCTAAATGATTGAGGTGGACTGGGACTCTTGTCACACTCTGGAGAGGATATGGATCAAGACAGCAATTTCCCTTGCTAGCATAGGTGGCTTCAGTGCCAAAGTGGTAGGATGGAGATTTCTGGATGAAGATGTGTATTTATGTGGTTCCAGAGGAGAAGCCCCATACTAGACCCAGTGGACTGTCCAGATGCGCTTGCTTGTGTGGTTTGTGGTTCTGCAGATCTATTTGTGGCATTGTAAA